GTTATACTTGGCTCCGTAGTTCTGATGCGTAGAACTGATTAGCTTTCTCAGGCTGTCCAATTAACAACAAATGAAAAAGATACTGTTATTCTTGATTTGGACGTCATCAAAATCTTGTGTTTGCGTATTTTTTTCCAAATGACTTGTAAAATGGATAGATTAGACATGTAGAGAAAGAAACAGTGATCCATGATATAAGAAGGTAACATATGTGGAATAAACTGCTCCATAAATTTACTGTAAATTGCAACCTGCCTCACTTGCCTGTTCAGCCATTCTTCCCAGGACTTGTTCTAATGCCTTCATACAGTTGCCATTTAAAACAAATCAACTATCCTTAGAAAAGAATTTTCCTCTCCCCTTAAACAAAGTTTTCTACTACTCTCCTTAACTGTGGAAATTGCTCTTAGCTTATCCCTGCCTGAGCCTTGGGAAGGAAAGTGTTTGATTCTGTGTCAACCATAACATTTCTATGCATAAAATGTAATGGTTTATATTGTCTGTTATGCTGTGGTTCCACAAGACTAGAAATCAAGTGTTTTAATGCTTAGTATTTTTTTTCCCTAGACATATGAAATATTTTCCACTCCATCCCTGTCCCACATACCAAAGTCTTTTCTTTTCTCTGTTCCTTGTCACTGCTACCACAACACAATGTTGGCCTATGCCTCGAGCCACTGAATTTTAATGTTAAAAACGGACAGTTCTTTTTCTGCTTTTTTTGAACCAGTTTCATTTTCAAATATAAATACTGTTTTAAAATCTTAAACTAGCAAACAGTTGAATATTTGCATCAACAATATTCAAGCCACTTATACTACTTGGTAAACCTTTCTTACTAATTTTCTTTCATATGTGAAAATTTGTTCCACTCTTATCTCTGAAATCCTTCTGGCCTCTGCACGCTTTAAGCTCTCGCATTCCATTGAAATTTTCTTTTGACTGGCTTTTTCCCTATGTTTTCCTCTGCGTGGTTAACCTTGCTGAAGCCTTTTATTTAAGATGTTTTAGTCGTTCTAATGCTCTATGTCATTTCAGCAAGACTTTGCTGCTCCTTTATCAGTTCCAAATCATCTCAAAGTTTCAAAGCAATTACAAGTCAGAATGTTTTTCCTATGAAGTAGGGAAATCTGTGCTGCATTTGACATTAAAGATGTTTTTGAAAACATTATTAATATGAAACTATTGTATCCAGCCAAATACTGAAAAAGTACTTTGAAATTTAAATTTAGATCAAGCATGTTTCCATACCTAATTTATAATTAAACACAACCTCATCCCTTTTTGTTTCTTTTTGTGAGACAGTTCAAATAGTCACATCAATTTCTTTTGCCTTTTCAGTTTTGCAAAGGAGAGCCTTTTCAAAACCAGTTCCTGTGTATGTCAGAAGAATTCATGTCAGTTGACTCATTTGGCGTTAATCTTGCTGTGACATGGCTTAGCCTAGGCACATGATACTGAAGTATCAGGCACACGCGGAATGCATAGGACTCTTGTTCATTTAGCAGAGTGGTAATTTCCCATTGGAATTTAGACTCAATGTTTTCTACATGCTGAGCAGGGGATGGCAAACAGGATTTACGAAATTCATTCTATACTGCTATTACATTCCAGAAACTATTTTCTCCCTAAAATGCATGTTTTTGGTTTTTTTAAACAAAAGGAGAGCTCAGTTTTTACAGACACTCCCCACTTTTTCAGAGAATTGTATATTTATTACATGAAAACATTAAAAAACTACCCCAAATCTCTCTTAATTTTGGCATCAGAGTCCCCTTGACTGGAAAAAGAAAGAAAAAAAGCCCATTTTAAAATTGAGGCAGTGCACTTTTCAAAGCCACAGACATTTATTGTTTTTGTTAAAAATAGCATTTGCTTCCTACATACAGAAACTAATGCCAGTTGCTCATTTAAACAGTGATTTTATTGGCTGCTTCAAATAACAGAAAGCTGCGGGTATAAAGCCCTTAATCTTTGTTGCAAGTGCACTCGAAGCAGTGATGCTGAAGAGAACATTTTGTGGCTGAAGTGACAGATGCAGTGTGTATTTAGGTGAGGATTTTTTCTCTGGATATTAGTGGAGAGTTAGAGACCAAAGGATTCCCTTTCCTCTCCTCTCCTATCCAGCTTTTGAAGTGCTGTATAGCTTCATTTTTACTAATTTTCTTGACTCCTTCCACTGTTCCAGCATTGTCACTACCCCTTCTGCACTGTCATTGACTTTCTCTGTTGCAGAGAAGAACTAGTATCCAGTACAATGGAGAGAACATTCAGATCTGTAATTTCTCCGTCTCTTGTGGATGGTCCCTGTAGCTACACCTCGTTCCTAACAAAATGCACCAGAGGCACATGCCAGTTAGTGTTCCTGCATCTTCACTGTTACCTCTATGCTCCTCCTTTTTTCCCTTCCTTTGCAGAAGATGTGAAAATACTGGCTCCATACTTGTCTCCCTGCATTAGGCATTGGAGTGTTGTTTAGAGAAATGGTTCCAATTTTGCAGTAAAAATAGGCAAATTCTTTGGGTAGAGGTGTTATTTTTTTATCAGGCCAACTAAATAGTTGCAAAAAAAATTGTTCTTTACAAGGTTTCGGACACGCACATCCTTCCTCAAGTAAAAAAAAAGGAAATTAAAAAGTGGTGAGAGAAATGAAAGATGGTCAGAAATGTCTTGGGTATGAAAAAATCAGTAAAAATAGGAATGCTAGAAGACTAGGCAGGAATGTAGCCATGAACCACAAAAGCTACTTTTAATGATGCATTTAATTTAGTTTTTCATTTAAAAGAAGAAGAATGGGGAAGCACTAAATAACTTGTTACAAATATTTAGTGATTATATAGGAGTTCTCAATGCTCCGTACCTTTTTATCAAGCATTTTCTTTGTATTTTAGAGAGCAGCAGACTTGCACATAGGCACACATTAAGACTAGATTCCTGGCCCTCCTGCCTCAGATCCAGTGTCCTGTCTGCTCCCCTAAGTTCCCTTCCAGGCCCGAGTCAAGTGGTCTAAAGCAATTTAAGGACTCTTTAATTCTAAGGTGTTTCCAAAGACTAAACTGTTTTGGCGTTTAGCAGTCTTAACTTTTAAACAAATAGTGTGTGCCAACTGTTGCACTTAACCTTCTTAATTTCTTAGTCATTGTCTTCAAATAGGAACTGCTTTTCCTGCCTCACTTATGACTGTGTTTTAGCCCTATCTGTCTGCATGGTGTGAGTGCAGCACTTCAGTCCCAACGTATGAGAATTGTGTGTGTGATGGTAGGGGAAGGGGGGTCATATCAATCTAGTCTCAAACTGAAAGTCTGCTTCAAGTTGGGGAAAAAAGAAAGAGCCAGTTTTGTATAAATTTTCTAAAATGGTCACCTTTGGACAGACAATAACATAGAAATTTTTACCTTGAATACAGTTATTTAGAAACAGCTGTTAAATAGGAAGGTTCTTCGAGTGGATGTGATATCTTTTATTAGACCAGCTGAGTAGTTTTAAAAAGTTCCTGACGAGCTTTCAAGCGCAGCCACTGTTCTTCAGGCTCCCAATGCCTGAAGAAGGGTGACTGAGCCCAAAAGCTTGCTAAGAACTTTTTTCCAACTACTCAGTTGCTCTAATAAAAGCTATCACATCCACTCAAAGAACCATGCCTGCCTATGTCCTTAGACCAACATGGCTACAACCAAAAACCCAGTTAAATAGGGGAAGTATCAGTTTACACTGGAATTAGCTGTGGTTCTCCATGTCCTAAAAACTGTAATACAGAAATCATATCGGCCATGACATGGCAATCGAGTCACTGCTAGAACATTTCTGTAATAGCACAAATATTTACTCAGGAGCTTAAGAGCAGCATATTGAGCTCAAACTGCAGAGCAAGTTTAGATAGCAGAAAGCAGGAATTATATTTTAATTGTCCAACTACAATTTAGCTAGGACCATGCCTAACACCTTTATTGTTGTAAAAAATATATTTAAAATGCAAATTCCATCGAATCTTTAATATTCACAAGTGGTCAAAGTGCTGCGTCTGAGAGATTTGTTCTCTTCTTGTTTAGTTTCACTAGCAGCCTATAATGATTCTCATAAGACCCCAGTATAATAATGCTCTCAAGAATGATAGTATTTTCTATATAAATGATCTGGGACGATCTAGTTGTCTAGGATTATCTAGCTGGGGATGATTTGGCAGGGATGTTCTAGTTGGGGACGGTCCTGTTTTGAGAAGGGGGTTGAACTAGATGCCCTCAGGGCTAGGGACAGAGAGGATTTGGGATCCCTGCTTAGCAGGGAATGGGGAGGGGAGGGGGAAAGCAGGAGGAAACCAGGCAGATTTGCTGTGCCTGCAAGTCTCTGCCAGAGCTGCAGCCAGGGAGCAGAGGGGAGAGACCAGCCCTGCTGTGGAGCAGAGAGCCCCGCCCATCCCAGAGAGCATGCTGTAGGAGTCTGATTTAATTTAAATCAGCAAGGGGTCTGAGACAGACATTGTACAAACCAGTTTGACCCAAATCAGTTCAACATGGTTAGATGTAGTATCAGACTTATCTCGTATTAGTTTCAGTCATTTTCAGACTGGTTTACATGCACTGAACACCTGTTCTGTTACAGGTTTAAACCAGTTTCTGATCACTTAAACCAGTTTATGTCATGTCTGTCCATATCCCAGAGGTCCCTTATACCCTAACTTTCTATGAATCTGTGATCGGAATGGCTATCTCAATCACTGGTGGAAGGAAGATATTTCAGTTAAGACAATAAATGTTCCTCAGCCTCCTGTATCAGAACAGATCTTTTGTATTATGAATGCCGTTTAGGTGACAGAACTAAAAAGTGATATTTTATTTAAGCTTTAGCTATATGGCAATATATTTAGGACTCTAATACAGTTAATGTTAAAACTCTATTAAATGATTTTCCCATCTGCCAGTGTCACCTAACATAGCTCAGTTTTTAACTAGTTCTTAAAAGAAACTGACAAAGCACTTTTTTCCTGTTTTTTACTATTTTTATAGAATCTGTGAAGCTGCAAAAACGCACAGCCTGCTGGAACAAGAGCTTGCTCATGCTGTCAATGCATGTTCCCATGCATTAAATAAAGCCAATCCAAGGTTTTCTGAGGTAAAGAAACAATTGAAATTTGTTTTAAAATGGACCCTCTGTATGAAGGAATATTTCTAGAGACCTTAAAGCAGTTTCGTATTCTGAACGGTATGTTCCAGTGGCTAGGGCAGTTGCTAATGAGGTTGCTAATATCCAAGGCCCCCCTGATCTTTCAAACATACATGCACAGAGAGAGAGAGTGCAGCTTCCTTCCTGCTGGTTGCATTTATAGGAAAGGGGACAAAGAGCACATCCCAGCATTCTGGAACACAGTGAAAGTGGCAGAAAACATTCTTCTCCTTCCCCTCCCCCAGGACATGTAACCCCATCCTTTCCAGTGGGGAGGAAGAAGGTACTGGTGGACAGACTCTTGTGGAAACAACCTAATTTGGAGGGTAAAACATAATGGAAACATTGAAATTGTTAAGTGGGGTTAAACAGGGCAAAGGAAGACACAGAACTTGGGGGAGAGAAAAATTGTGACAGTGCTGAAAGAGAGAGAATAACAAGTAGAGGCATCTGGGCTGATTCATAGTTTCTAGGGTCGGAAGGGACCTGAGCAGATCATCTAGTCTGACCCCCTGCCATGGCAGGAAGAGCACTGGGGTCAAATGACCCCAGTAAGGTGGTCATCCA